AGTCCCCCGAGGGCCGTGACTGGTTCAGGGCTACCTGCAGCAGCTCCTCCGCCCCCAAAAAACCAGCCCGAAGAGCTCTGCCAGAGAAGTCCTCAGCCCTCGAGGTCACGAGCTCCGTTCGTGCAGTTTAGAGCGAACGCTTGGGTCTGGCTGTGCTCGGGGCTACGGGCACAGTGCTGTCCAGTCTGGCGGGTAGATGTTAACGTGCACGGGCCAGCCCTGGGTGGTCAGCCGATCTGGACCAGTTTTATGTCGGCGATACTCCCATCTCTGCCCTTGGAGCACTGGAGGGACAGCTGCTTCATCCGGCTCTCCAAGGCCTGGCCTTCCGGGGGGTTGCTGCTGTGGCTCTTACCCCCGCCGCCGCCGGGACCCCGGCTATTGGCTTTGTCACTCGTTTTATTCTCTGCCCCTTCTGCCCTGTCTCCTACAGAAAGACAAGATTACCGAGTGAGTGGACATTTCCCAAGGTCACTTGGGCCCCAGCCAGCTCAGTCCCCAGCACCACCTCCCGTGCAGAGAGTCTGTCACCCTTCCCTGCGTCTCTTCCTCACCACGACCTACACGTTCATGCCTTTAGATGACTCCGTCACATTCATTCGGGGACTACTCGGAACAAGCACACAGGACCTAAGCTCCGCGTATAGAAGCTGGTCAAGAGTGGAGGCTGGTCCCCCAGACAGCGTAATGGCTACATCGCTGGGCTTCCCTGGGGTCGACCGCGGTCCAGGCTGGGCCCGGTGGCTTGAACTCATGCTGGTGCATGTGTGCGGGCCCAAGATCCCGAGAGGAGAGTGGAGCGGGGACTGCAGTGGGACCACCCCTGGGGGGTGGTTTCTCACTTTCTGTCTCTGTCTCTGTCTCCAGCAAGCACACGTGCCCTATAGCAAAAATCTCTCTAAAAAAAGAAGAAACTGTCCATGGTCAACACTGACAGGCACATTCACCCATTCACCGAGGTCCAGCCGCACAGGGGAGCCCGGGGACCTGGCTGCACCTGGCAAGGCGGGGGCTGCATACACCTCGCTCCACCTCGGCCCACCTCGGCTCACCTCGCTCCACCTCGCACTCTGGGGACGAGGCCCCACTGCATTCGCTCCGTGGGCCCAGCACCGGGAATGGGATCCCGAACTCCGACAGGGACACAGGGCTGGGCAGGTCCAGGCTGCCAGGCCTCGTGACCACAGGGAGCTGGTCGGGCATCTCCGACGGGCTGGTCGGGCCTGAACTGAAGCTGGAGACAGACTGGGTTTCTGAGTCATCTTCAGACACAAAGTTGCCACAGTTGTCATCTTCAAAGGCTTCCGAGGCCACTAGGGTGAAAAGGGACACTGGTCACAGGGGCCGCAGGGTCTCCCGCTGGGGCCTATGATGGAGAGGTGACCCTCCTGAGCCTCTTCGTGGAGGGGAAGCAGCGGGCAGGCAGAACGGTGGACAGCCACTGGCACAGTAACCACGGTCCTCCGAGAAGCCAGCGTCACCCGACTGCCCAAGAGGAAGCTGGCCAGGGGCCAGGACCTACAGAGTCCGTGCCCAGGGAGAGCTGTGTCCCTGTGTCACGAACGCAGACCCAAGGCTGGACGCCCTCTGCTTGCTTCCAGGGCAGCGGAAGCAGGAGCTGCCATGAGGGCCAACCCGTGGCGGACCTGTGGGTCCTGCGACATTCCGGGAGGGAGCTCCCGTGGGCTCCGGCGGCCAGGTCACCGCCTCCTACAGAGCAGTGGAGGGCGTCTCCAGGCTCGAGCAGGGGCCTTAACTTGTAGACCCGCGTGGCCAAGGGCCACAGCTTCAGCCCTCAGCTCCTTTCCTTCGCCTAGAACACAGTGCCACCTACAAAACCTCCTGCTCCTTCCCCACCTTTACAGCCGCCTGTCAGCCGCCTGTCGGGGCTTCTCTCACTGTCAGGAGGAGACACAGGTAGGCTCAGGCCTGAGTGCGAAGTCTGACTCCACTACCTGCTGTGTGGCCTGGGTCGAGTTACTGAACCTCTCTGAGCTTCATAATCCTCTCCATACAGTTATGAGATGAAGTCCTCAAAAAGCTCATGGAAAAAGGCATATTATGAAAAACCTACGCCTAGATTTCACATTGTTTTGCACCAAAATACAAGTCGCATTTTAATTCCGTTCTCCGTGAGCTCTCGTATGCCGACTCACGCACAGCTCCCACTATCTCAGCCCGGGCACATAAAGAGGCCGTGCGGTGGTTGAGGCGCGGACTCCCACATGGTCGACGGCACTGAGTCCTGAGCACACGGACACGCGTACGTGCCAAAGATCCCAGGAGAATGGAATGGACAAGGGACGCGGTGTGGCCATGGGGGTGATCTCTCGCTTTCTGTTTCTACAGCAAGCACACATGCCCTACAGCAAAAAATCTCTCAAAAGAAAAAAAGAAAAAGAAAGAATTAAAAACCGAGGAAAGCGCCTTGGGGAGGAGCCAGCAGGGACCCCACACAGAAAGGTCGTGGAAGGTCTCCTGGCAGCTGGGGTCCCAGTCCCTATGACGGAGAGGTGACCCTCCTGAGCCTCTTCGTGGAGGGGAAGCAGCGGGCAGGCAGAACGGTGGACAGCCACTGGCACAGTAACCACGGTCCTCCGAGAAGCCAGCGTCACCCGACTGCCCAAGAGGAAGCTGGCCAGGGGCCAGGACCTACAGAGTCCGTGCCCAGGGAGAGCTGTGTCCCTGTGTCACGAACGCAGACCCAAGGCTGGACGCCCTCTGCTTGCTTCCAGGGCAGCGGAAGCAGGAGCTGCCATGAGGGCCAACCCGTGGCGGACCTGTGGGTCCTGCGACATTCCGGGAGGGAGCTCCCGTGGGCTCCGGCGGCCAGGTCACCGCCTCCTACAGAGCAGTGGAGGGCGTCTCCAGGCTCGAGCAGGGGCCTTAACTTGTAGACCCGCGTGGCCAAGGGCCACAGCTTCAGCCCTCAGCTCCTTTCCTTCGCCTAGAACACAGTGCCACCTACAAAACCTCCTGCTCCTTCCCCACCTTTACAGCCGCCTGTCAGCCGCCTGTCGGGGCTTCTCTCACTGTCAGGAGGAGACACAGGTAGGCTCAGGCCTGAGTGCGAAGTCTGACTCCACTACCTGCTGTGTGGCCTGGGTCGAGTTACTGAACCTCTCTGAGCTTCATAATCCTCTCCATACAGTTATGAGATGAAGTCCTCAAAAAGCTCATGGAAAAAGGCATATTATGAAAAACCTACGCCTAGATTTCACATTGTTTTGCACCAAAATACAAGTCGCATTTTAATTCCGTTCTCCGTGAGCTCTCGTATGCCGACTCACGCACAGCTCCCACTATCTCAGCCCGGGCACATAAAGAGGCCGTGCGGTGGTTGAGGCGCGGACTCCCACATGGTCGACGGCACTGAGTCCTGAGCACACGGACACGCGTACGTGCCAAAGATCCCAGGAGAATGGAATGGACAAGGGACGCGGTGTGGCCATGGGGGTGATCTCTCGCTTTCTGTTTCTACAGCAAGCACACATGCCCTACAGCAAAAAATCTCTCAAAAGAAAAAAAGAAAAAGAAAGAATTAAAAACCGAGGAAAGCGCCTTGGGGAGGAGCCAGCAGGGACCCCACACAGAAAGGTCGTGGAAGGTCTCCTGGCAGCTGGGGTCCCAGTCCCAAAAAGGCAGGTGACCCCAAAGAGGGCCCCACACTCAGGCGGCAGGGACGGACACCAAGCATGGGCCCTCCTGTGCCTGGAGGTCGGGTCGCGAGCTCGACCGTGGTCACCCCATTGCTCAGGTGGAGACAAACATAAACTCCAGTGCTGGCCTCAGATGTGAAGGCCCGGCCATTGGTCAAACCCGGTTCCTCAGTCCCTGTCCCCTCGCAGCCCTCTCCTGCAGAATTGGACTCTGAGAGGTGAAGACGGTTTTCCAGACACAACCCAGAACCCTGACTGAGAAACACTTAAGAGCGGCCCGATGGACCGTGTTCACAGAACACGGGACACCCTGGAAACGGTCCCAGACCTCCCAGTGAGACCCCACAGGGCTAGCCCATGGAGGGGGGGCCTTGGAAGCTGTCCCCGCATTCGTCCCTGGCGCCCCGCACTCACCGGAAATGGCGTCGGGCTCCGGCTTGCCCCCCGACAGGCCCTCCGCAGACGTGCTGCCCTCGGCCCCAACCCCACGGCCCCGTGGCCCCATGGCGCTGGAGCGGCGCCGCTCGTGGATCTCGTCCGAGATCGTCTCCAGGTTCTTCAGGGCCGTCCTGTACTCGCCCTTGGCCAGGGTCAGCCTGGCCTGCAAGTCGTCCACCGTCTTCTTCAGTTGCTGGTCAGAGAAGGGGACACTTGTCAGAGCAGGCTCCCCAGGCCTCTGGTGCTGTCTGAACGGCAGGTTCAGGTGAAGTTCCTGCCCTTGTGCCATGTGTCTCCCACGACATGACTGAAGACAGGACGCTCTTGTCACAGCGTCCATCCACCAGCTGTGAGACTAGCCACCACCACTCCCGGCCCCCACCCAGGTGACGAGCTGAAACTGCGGGCACGGCCCATCAGGGAAGAGCGACACAGAAGGCGGGCTCGCCATTGGGTCCCCGCATGGTGGCCTCAAACACGCTCGTATCAGCACCCCCGGAAGACCTGTTAAAACTCAGACTGCATGGGGCCGGCAGGTGGTGTGGACTCCCACATGGCTGACCTCGGTTCAAGTCCCATACCCGATGGCTTGCTTTCTCGTTTTCCCTCCCTCCCTCCCTCTCTCACTCTTTTGCTCACTCTGTCCTTCTCTGGTCAAATTTAAATAAGTAAAGTTAAATAAAATAATAATTGAACAAAATTTAAAAAAAGAAAACCCCAGATCGCTGGGGCCAGCCAACAGCACGGTGGTTGGGCAGCTGGGTCCCTCCCGGCTGATGGCGCAGTCCAAGTCCGAGACCCAGCAGCTTGGAAAACACCCGGGTGCCGTGTGTGTCCGAAACCCAGAGGAGAACGGAGAAGGGACTGTGGTGTGGCCGCCCCGACCCCATCATGCTCCCTCACTTTCCCTCTCCTTTTCTCCTGCGTGAGCAAGCACCTACAGCAGATTTTAACGAAAAATTCAGATTGCTGGGATTCACACCGCGTTCCTGCCTCAGCAGGTCGAGGGTGGGGCCTGGGTGCTCGCATTGCTGCCCAGTTTCCCGTGGCTGCGAGAACCACGGGTTAGTACGAGAACGTGGCCGGACGGCAGAACTGAGCTTCAGAGCCCTCGGAGGGCCCCGCCACGCCCGTCTGGGGTCTGGAAACTCGGCCATGCGTGTTCTCCACCCCTGTGGGGCAGATGGGTGTGGCGAGCCGCCACCACGAGAACGGCTCAGTCTGCAGGACACGCGTCAGCCACGGAGCGGCGCTCACGTACCTCGAGCTGCACGTAGTACTTGGCCTTGAGTTCAAAGTAAGGCCTGCAGGAGACAGAGAGGGCCGTGAGTGACAGCACACGCCACGCACCACCACGGCGTGTCGGCCACGTCGCTGCCGATGGCAAGCAGGAAATCCCGACACGGCTGGGGCAGGAAATCCCGACACGGCTGTGAGACAGTGACGTGCCCGGCCACGGGGCCTGGCTGACACAGACACCAGCCAGCAGCTGGGCTCGCGCAGGGCCATGCTGACAAAGGTCCGATCGTAAGGTGCCGGAGCCAGGACCAGATGGCGTAATGGTTATGTCACTAGGCTCCCTCATGGTGGACCACGGTCCAAAGCCCAGACTTGGTAACTTCAAACTCATGCCAGGTGCGTGTGCGTGCATGCCCAGGATCCCAAGAGGAGAATGGAGGAGAAGGGATTGCGGTGTGGCCATCCCCCCAGGGGGTGATTTCTCGCTTTCTGTCTCTCTCTGGTGAGTGCACACGCCCTATAGCAAAAACCTCTCTTAAAAAGAAACGAAGATGTGGGGATGCAGAGCACACAGCCCAGAGACAGACTGGCCCGCTTTGCCATCTGGGCGGCCATGCAAGGCCACATGGGGCACCCAGCCAGAAGTGGCCCGCACCTGTTCTCCCAGGCAAAGCCGGCAGAGCATCTCCCCTGAGGCCAGAGAGGTGAGTGCGGGCCCAGCCCTCCTCGAGCACAGCAGGACCTTCGGGTCCTGGGTCCAGTGGCAGCGCCTGCTTCTTTCCAGGCACTGGAGAGACACAGCCGCTGTCCGCCCTCCGTACGGCCCCACGTCCTGCACCCTCGCGCCCCAGATGGGGCAGGGACCAAGGACAGCCCTGGTGGACGTGGGAGACCGAGGGCTGGAGGAGGGTGGGCCAGGCTCTCGGGTGACTGGAGAGCAGGCGCTGTGCAGAGGGTGTGGTGGGAGCGAGGAGCGTGCAGCACGCGGGCACAGGGAGGGCGTCCATGCCAGTGAGGCCCAGGAGCACTCCTAGGACACATCTCCATCCCACCCTGAGCCCCGGGGCCTCTGGAGTCCGTCCCTACGCTCTCCTCGGAGCCCAGAATCTCTCTCCCTGGCCGGTGAGTGTGTGTGACGTGTGTAGCAGGCACTGGGGCTGGGCAGACAGGCCGCAGGAAGGGAGCAAAGGCCACTCCTCTGGGCACAGAGGTGTGGCCCATGGCTGTGCCCGTGCTGGCCTGGTGGGGGATCCTCCTACTCCCTCCCCCAGACGCCACACACACATCCTACTGCTTAGCCTCCAACGAAGCAGCCTCTGACACACACACGCTCACACTCACACACACACACCAAGATGTGCAGATGCGTCAGGACTCATTCAACGGCCCAGTGTGCAGGGGTGTGGGGAGAGGGGCTGGGACAGGCCATTCACACCAGTCCTGTCGCAGTCCTCCAGCCCTGGGTCCTCAGCATGTGCCCTGCGTGAGCCCGCCGCAGTTATGCAGACAGGCACGCCAAGGGCAGGGCTGTCCACGCCAGCCACAGGGCCGCCCAACCATGTGCTGACGCCC